TTTTTTTCTCATAAAGTTTTGAGAATTTTTTCAGAATTTTTTATCAACTTTTTAGTACTGCATTTTCTTATTTTTATCAACATCAGAAAATACGGTATTAAAAAATTCTGAAAAAAATTCTGAAAAAATTCTAAAAACTTTATGAGAAGAAAATAAATAATTTTTGTCTCTTGCAGTTTTTCTGTAAAGTTGATAGTATTTGAGTAAAAAATTATTCCATATCAATATTTTGCAATTTTTAGTACTTAGAGCGAAAATGACGGCCGCTCTCTCTCGCTGTCTCGCTTCCTCTAGTATCGTAGGCGCTTGTTATAAGCGACCGAAAACCGAAAATATACTTTCTCGGCCGTTCGGCGTATTCCTGTACAGGGTATCCCGACCTGTTTTGCCAATCACTTTTGTGTTGATAGAGCGAATTAAACTGAGTCGAAAAGTCCTCTACCATTTTGCAATTTTCGCAATAGTTAACAAGATATTAATTACAAAACGATTGTATGTATTACAGCTTCTTCCACGTACGCAAGAATGAAATTGCGAGAGATTACTATAACATAATCTGTATATTTCGAACTTAAAATAACATATACGTTTCGGTTTGTACATCAAACCTTTTTCAATATTACCATAAAAATTATTTTACAATTTAAAATACATAAAAGATATTAAAATTTGTGGTTACAATTTGAATCGTTATCATTATACAAGTTTAAATTTATACAAGCCGTTGTTTTCTTGTTTTTCAAATGTTTCATCCTATATTTCGTGAGATTCGCATCTTGTCAATTTTCAAATTGAAGTCAAGTGATATTGATCGTAACTTATTCAAAACGACGTGTAACATTAATTTAAGATTTAATTATCCATCGTTCATTGTGGAAAGAGGAGTTAAAGTTCTTCGATCTCACAAAGACTGAACGCTATTTTTCCAGAAACTATCAATAAAATAGGAAACAGTATTCTTTATATATAATATGAATGAATATTTAATGTAGTTACAATTTTAATTATTAGTCGATTATTTGTGATTATAATTTATTTTTAGAATTTAATTAAAGTACCTGCGTTGCGTGTGTATCCAATTTTTTAAACCTCTTTAGTCGTTATAAAAATGTTGTAGTAAATTACTGAAACTAAATCACCTCTGTATTATAAGGAGAGACAAACGACACTGAATTCTCGTCGGTAGGAACTGACCAAGATCAAAAGAAACAACATAATATGAAGATTATTTATTATTATGATTTAAGCAGTGGTATGTAAGAGTCAGGAAATTTTTGAGTATCAAGATATTAATTACTAAACATTGCAAAATATTGGTCTTGAATAATTTTTTACTCAAATACTATCAACTTTACAGAAAAACTGCAAGAGACAAAAATTATTTATTTTCTTCCTATAAAGTGCTGAGAATTTTTTCAGAATTTTTTCAGAATTTTTTAATACCGTATTTTCTCATGTTGATAAAAATAAGAAAATGCAGTACTAAAAATTTGATAAAAAATTCTGAAAAAATTCTCAAAACTTTGTAAGAAGAAAATAAATAATTTTTGTCTCTTGCAGTTTTTCTGTAAAGTTGATAGTATTTGAGTAAAAAATTATTCAACACTAATATTTTGCAATTTTTAGTAATTAATATCTTGTTAACTATTGCGAAAATTGCAAAATGGTAGAGAACTTTTCGACTCAGTTTAATCCACTCTATCAACACAAAAGTGATTGGCAAAAAAGATCGGGATACCTTGTACAGGAATACGCCGAGCGGCCGAGAAAGTACATTTTCGGTTTTCGGTCGCTTATAACAAGCGACTAGTAGCGAAAGCGAGACAGTGAGAGAGAGCGACCGTCATTTTCGCTCTAATACTCGCTTGTGTTTACGAGTTACTGGTAGAGCGAGAAGGACAGGCGCTGCATCTCGCTGTCTCGCTCGCTCTCGCGGCGAAGACGACCGACTCGATGCCGGTAAGTGTCTGCTTGGTGGGGGTACAAGTGGTGGGGCTGGATTCCGTGTTGCCGGGGAACCAAATGTGCATCACTGACCGCAGGTCGATCATTCTGATCAAAAGCTTTGAATAATACGCTTCGCTATATTATATTCCCCAAAAGCATACACGGTAAGCAGGGCGCCGTGAAACTTGTAAATTTTCGTTCGCTTGTCACGCGCTTCTAAGCCCCGCGAGGAACCGACACTTAGAATCTTTTGATATCCGGACGCGAATACTTATAAATTATTCTTCAAGCAATTCAGCCTTCAGACATGTATTTAAGTAAAATTGTCTCTTGTGTAAATGAATGAAAGCCAGTGATAACGTTTAAAAATCAGTGCTCTGTGAAACTACGATTTGCAACTTTCGTGGCTCAATAATTCGCTGTGTTTGTTCCTCGCGCGACTGAAAACTTCGAAGCTAAGAATCTCTTAGCCGCACGTCAAATTCATGTTCGTGAAAAGCACGTTCGATAAAGTTTTCTTCTTTCTTTTGTTTTGTTCGCGTTATTCATCGCTGTAGTGAAATAAATGTAAGTCACACAGAGACTTTTGATCTCTTTTATATAACTTCCATAAAATTAGTGATTGTTTGGGCACACAGACATTTAAACATGTTTCTTAATATTTAGGAAATTCAATTTACTTATTTCATTATTGTTTCCAATTGAGACGTACAATAAACTATTTTCTAGTGAAATCGGTGATATTAAATCAAGGCCTCTCCTTTTAATCGCGATAACTCGTCGTGCTGCCCATATGCGCTGCCTCCTTCGCAATCGGGTCCGGACACGTATCTGACCACGAGAACGTACAGGGCTCAGGGCGCTCTCCGAAGGAAGCCCTCCGCCTCTCTTTTTCCACTCATGGGCGCTCTCGTAGCAGGGCCGCCCCAGGCTATTTCTCCCCACTCTGTCTCTCTTCCCCTCCCCCTCCCCCCTCTCCCTCCCCCCTCTCTCTCTAGATAGGGCGCTTGCCTCACGGGCGTCCCTTCTATACTCCCCTCGGGATAGGGCGCTCGCTCTACGGGCCATCCTTCTCTATCCCTCTCGCACCCAAAAAGGGCGCCTTATTTCAGGGCGCACCTACAGCCCTTCCTTCGTTCCGGAACATCATCCCGTCCAGCGCTTGATCCATTTGGGCACAAAATTCCATCCCTAGTTCCGCCCCTCCCCTTTTTCTCTTTTCTCTTCTCCCGTGCCTATTACGTATAGGGGTCTCGCGCCCTCCGACCCTCCTAATAATATCGCGGAAGCATAAATTCTGTCTTTTTCCTCCTTCTATAATTGTTATCTACCCCGCCGATCGCGCGCCTCGCAGCGAGGAACCGCCTGCTCCCAAGCCGGGATGGCTGCCTCCCCCGAAGATCACGGAAGACTCGCATGCACCTGTTAGCTGCATCCCGCGCCGCGTCGCCCAGCTTCCCGCCCTGGACACATCGCGCCCTACGGTCAGAATCCCGACCCGGCCTGTAAAAGTTGCCGGGAAGCCACGAGTCGTGTCCGTGGAATAACTAGACGTGAAAATACAAATCTCCAAGTAACGTGTTGTCTATTTGTTATTGCTCCCTTCCTGGTTCTCCACACTGTAAGATGGACCTTCGTCTCGAACCGAGGGTGACATCCTTAGATCACTGTTCGTGACCCTGTAAGAAAGACGCACTTCTGCCAGAGCCCCTAAAAGAACCACGAAGGCGAATTAGTAAAGCCACGCAGCATACGCGACAAAGTCGCGCCGAGGACCCGAGGCTCCACCACACGCGTCTTCCCCCTTCACCCCTCTCTCTTTTTCTCGTCGAACCCGTCGGGAAGGTTATCCTTCTGATTCACCCACTGCACTGGGCGTAACAAGTTATATAAAAGTTTTATAATTTGTTACGTTATTGTTATAAAATTAGAATTTGACTGTTATGTTGCCATACATTAATCTAAATTAACAATGAGAAGTTATAAATTAACAAAAAATAAGTTTTTATAGACTACTTAAATTAAAACAATTTAGAAAAAAAAATATAACATACAGTATAGATAATTGGAGTCAACGCTGATTATTAATTAGCGCAATTCTTCTTAATATTAGAAATGGTATAAACCTTGATTTTAAACGTTTCCATTTATGGTTTGATCTTCTCAGCAATCTTTCCCTCTAGCGCAACGGTTGGAGTATTACATCACAAAATAATATCTCCAACGTTTTTCCTCTCAAAATTGAACCGTGGACTGTTGTGAGGTAAGTCACATACAAAGTTAGAAACCTGAGTGGCAATGAGAACTCAAGCTAAAATTATATAAATGATTAAATTATCGTATGTATAATTTGAAAATTAATAATCACCTCACCTCACCTCACACAGTCGACGCTTCTACACTGAACAATAAATCTCTCTTATGTAACATTTTGTAACTCGTTAGTATGTTAAAAATTATCGTCGAGTTTTACAATAATAACTGCGAGAACAATATGTGTCTTGTCATTTCGACAGTCGATTAAATAATTGATCTGTTTTCTGTGGCTAAACTGTAGTGTACACTTTTAGAACTTAAAGTGAGATTGTTTAATATTTAATTTTCAGTTGTAATTCTTTTATTATTAATAGCGAATCATTTATTATGATGTAAGTTTAGTTTGAAACCCGTGCCCTCCTAGTTTAAGAGTTCAGCGCCTTCTGTCGGATCTAGTAAAAGGCAGAAAGGGAAGAAGGAGTCGCGACCATTTTTACTACTACGAATTTCCTCGAAAAGAACGGTTGAGTTTTTGTAATGGACACCGATCTCGTGTCGATCTGCGTTCCGTCGTAACTTTTATAAGTTTACTGAGTTATCAAATAAAGATTATTTGTTGGAAATAATCCGTGCATCATTCCATTGAACAAATATTGTACAAATTGGTCCTTCGAGCCGGATCTTTCGGCATTCTTTTGCATGGATCGCGAGATCTGATGCGGCATCGGTGTACAATCAAAAAGCTGTTATAAATTCAACGACGATTACGACAAAAATTGTAAGTCCGTTCCAAATATACGTCTGTATTATTGCCTTAGATAACGCACGATATATGAGTGGAAAGACCAATTCGGGTGCTTTACTTACATATTAATTGTTTGCCTTGTAACAATATCCGTATTTACAATGTCCGTACAGGAATTAACGAAAAAACGTACCATTATAAAAACGAAGGTTACAACGTTCCAGACATTTTTGGGAAAGCTTGACATAGATACGTCCAAAGCTCAGGAATTATCATTAAGGTTAGAACGTGCGGAGAAATTGTTATCCGAGTATGATAAAGTTCAGTCACAAATTGAAGAGTTGACCGATGTAGATACAGAGGAACGTACGAAATTCGATGATGCATTTTACGCTACGATACTTTTAGGAAGAAACACTGCGACTAGGTTAAGTCCGAGCACGTCAACCGAAGTAGCAGCGTCGGCGACTATCGATACTACAACACATATAAATTCATTGTTAAAATTACCTGATTTAAAATTGCCGACTTTTAATGGTGAGTACGATCAATGGATCACGTTTCGCGATACATTTGAAGCTATTATTGATTCTAATACAAGTTTGTCAAAAGTTCAAAAGTTTTATTATCTGCAGTCAGCAGTTAAAGGTAGTGCTGCGCAATGTTTTCAATCGTTAAGCTTGTCGAACGAAAATTATGATGCTGCGTGGACATTGTTAAAGTCGCGATTTGAAAATAAAAGATTAATAGTACATCACCATATCCAAGCGCTCCTTGAATTGCCAGTTCTCACAAAGGAATCTTGCACCAACTTGAGAAAGTTAATTGACGACATACAACAAAATATGATTGCATTAACAAAGCTCGAACAACCGGTTCAATCCTGGGACACATTGTTAATTCATTTGCTCACGCCTAAACTCGATGTTAAGACAAAACGAGAATGGGAATTTAAAAGAGAATTTTCGAAATTGCCAACTATGAAGGAATTCATCGACTTTCTAAATAAACGTTGTTCAATTCTCGAAACATTGTTGCCTAACCAATTAAAGGATACTTCCTCAGCTAATACAAAATCGCATAAAAAATCTGTAAGTTTAACTGCGCAATCTCCCGTGGAGAAGCAATGTCCATTATGTAAGAACTCACATTGGCTATATGCATGTCCGTCATTTCGTAAATTATCGAGCCACGAAAGATTACGAGAAGCGAAACGATTAAAAATTTATTTGAATTGTTTACGTTCTCATCCTGAACGTGAATGTACTTTCGGTAGTTGCCAACGGTGTAAGCGTCGACATAATACAATGTTACATCTCGACAATAATAATCCGCAGACTAAATCAGTCGATATTGAACAAGGAGAAGTTCAAAATAAGAAAGGCGAGGACGATTCTGCGGTGCGAACTAGCACTACTGCCACTAACGTCGCATTGTAACAATAAAGGTGTAGTGCAGTCTCTGTTATCCACAGCAATCGTTCTTGTACGCGATCATAACGGTTACTATCAAGAATGTCGGGCCCTACTTGATTCCGCGTCTCAGAGTCATTTTATGACAAAGGAATTATGTCAACGATTGCAATTAAATACTTTTAAAACAAACCATTTGATTAATGGTATCGGTCAAACAAACGTTTTTGTGAATGACAGAGCCACTACCGTTATGAAATCAAAGTATAACGAATATAGAACAGAGTTATCCTGTTTCGTAGTAGATTCGATTACTGGTACGCTACCGCCAGACAAATTCGACATATGTCAATTCACGATTCCCAAAAACATTTTACTAGCGGATCCAAGGTACAATGTTCCCGCCAAGATTGATTTGTTAATCGGTGTTGCACTGTTTTATAATTTATTGCAGGAAAGGCGCATCGATTTAGGCAATAATTTACCGGTATTGCAAGAGACGAGTTTAGGTTGGATTATTGGTGGCGCATTCATGCCTTGCAGGTCCTCGACTCAATGTAACACTTCACAAAGTTATTTATCGTTAAACTCATAAATCCAAGAACAACTCGAACGTTTTTGGCAATTGGAGGAAGTTACAAAATCAAAGCCTCATACTAAAGAGGAGCAGCTATGCGAGGACAATTTCGTGTCAACCCATCAACGTGATCAAAATGGAAGATTCATCGTGCAATTGCCACTGAAGAGTTCAATATCTTCACTCGGAAAATCGCAAGAGATTGCGGAGAGACGTTTACGATCCGTAGAAAGAAAACTTGACAAGGATGCAACGCTGAAGGAGGCATACGTCAGTTTCATGCAGGAATACGAGCAATTGAATCATATGAGTGAAATAGGAGAAGCCGAAGACAAAGATGAACATGCGAATTATCTTCCACATCACGCAGTCGTTAAGTCAACAAGCAGTACTACCAAAGTACGGGTAGTTTTCGATGCATCTTGCAAGACGACTTCAGGCAGATCGCTCAACGATATATTGCTCGTGGGACCGACCATTCAGAACACCTTATTCAATATTATTTTGCGTTTTCGACAGCATTACATACGTTATTACATCTGATATCCATAAGATGTATCGGCAAATCTTGCTACAATCCAACCAAAGGGATTTACAACGAATTTTATGGAAGAAACATTCTGGAACAGTCCAGACTTTTCGCTTGAATACTGTTACGTACGGATTAGCAAGCGCACCTTTTCTTGCTATAAGATGTTTATATCAATTAGCTTTGGAATGCCAAACTAACATGCCTAAAATCAGTGAAACAATTAAGCGGGATTTCTATGTCGATGACTTGATAACCGGCGGAAATGACCTAAGTCAATTGAAGATTCTGAAGGAAGATATCATATCACTAACGTTCTACACAGTGGATGTTTCGAGTTACATAAGTGGAATTCGAACGAAAAATCAATACTCACTGCTGAGGAGCAAGAAACGACAGATTCAGTAAACTTTGATAAGGAGGTCAACACTTTAGGCCTTATATGGAATACGAATTCGGATACCTTACAATACAGGATCAATTCGAGGACTCAGTCATCAAAATTAACAAAAAGAGCCATATTATCCATTATTTCGCAGATTTTCGACCCGCTTGGTCTGATCGGACCAATAACAGTCCAGTCAAAACTTTTACTTCAAGATCTTTGGCGTCTCAAGGTTGATTGGGACGATCCAGTTCCCATCGAATTACACTCGAAATGGTCATATTTTCAAGACCAAATACAGTATATTCCTGAAATGTTAATTTCTCGACATGCGTTTAGTAAGGAATATAACACTATGGAGGTACACGGTTTCTGCGACGCCTCAGAAATCGCATATGGTTGTTACATTTACATCAAAACTGTAAATAATGGAGAAGCAACGGTTAATCTTTTGTGTGCAAAATCGAAGGTTGCACCAGTGAAAAACGTTACCAAGATTAGAATTATGTGCAGCCCTATTGTTAGCCGAATTATATCGACAAGTCAGTCAAGCATTAACCATAACTCCTGATTCAACATACTTGTGGAGTGATTCCACAATCGCGCTCGCCTGGATAAAGGGTGAACCATCACGATGGGTGCAATTCGTTGCAAATAGAGTCACAGAGATCCAGCAATTAACCGTTCGTGCAAGATGGAATCATGTAAGTTCAAAGGAAAATCCTGCTAATATTATATCACGGGGAATGAACTCAACTAATTTGAGGGCCTGTCGTCTATGGTGGAATGGCCCTGATTGGCTGAAGTCAAAGGATTGGCCTCCTTCCAAGGAAACCATTATTATTAGTGAGGATCTTCTCGAGGAGCGAAAGTCCTCAAAGGTTTTCCATAGCCAAGTAAACGATATTGACGAGTTGTTTTTGAGATTCTCATCCTTGACAAAGTTAAAACGAGTGATAGGATATTGCTTACGATTCAAACATAACGTGTTGCAACCTGAGTCGAAGACTAAAGGGCCGTTAACAGTAGCAGAATTGGAGAATGCCATGATAATTTTAGTATCGTTAGCGCAGTATCGATTTTGGTAACGATATACGAAGTTTAGAATCGTGCGGTCAAGTAAGTAAAACAAGTAAGTTACGCTCGTTAGTTCCATTCCTAGACGATCACAACGTAATGCGAGTAGGCGGTAGGTTATCGAACGCACCCATTCCTTACGCTCGGAAGTATCCAATTATCTTGCCGTCAAAACACTCACTAACTCGATTGATTATTCTACACGAACATTACAAGCATTTACATGCGGGCCTTCAAGCATTATTGGCGGCAATACGCGTACATTTTTGGCCACTTCATGCTCGAGGCACCGCAAAGGATGTGCTACGAAAGTGCATCGTTTGTTTTCGTGCTAAACCTCCAATGTTACACCAGCGGATGGATGATTTACCGGCATCGCGTATTACGACAAGTCGTCCGTTTTTAAACACTGGAATCGATTATGTCGGGCCTTTTACTATAAAGATATCACGAAATAAGACTGATAAGGCATATATGTATATGTATCTTCGTATGTTTCACTACGCGTGCTGTACATTTGGAGTTAGTAGTAGATTTAAGTATTCCGGCCTTCATCAGAGCATTGCAAAGATTTATAGCGCGTAGAGGTAAATGTGCGAATATCTATTTGGATAACGCAAAAAATTTCGTTGGCGCGAACAACGAGCTGCGAGAAGTTGGGGAAATCCTGCGAAATCCCGACCATCACGCGAAGATATCGGATTTTTTGGTAGAAAATTCGATCAACTGGAATTTCATCCCTCCACACTCGCCTCACATGGGAGGACTTTAGGAAGCCGTTATTAAGTCCGCAAAAACTCATCTGAGAAAAATCATTGGAACGACACCTCTTAGTTATGAGGAATTATATACGCTGCTGACACGGATAGAGGCTTGCCTCAATTCGCGACCTCTCTGCCCATTGACAGATGATGGTACTGACTTAGCTGCATTAACACCAGCTCATTTTTTGATCGGCGTGCCTTTGACTTCGTTGCCAGAAGTAGATGTGTCCGATGAACCAGTCAATCGTTTAACCAGACACCAATTGCTAACACAGATGCGACAGCATTTTTGGCAGAGGTGGTCGAGGGAATATCTAACTCAACTCCAACAACGGCACAAATGGATCGAAGAATCAAAGGCGAATATAAAAATCGGTACGATGGTATTGTTGCGGAATGAAAACACACCACCAATGCACTGGCGTCTAGGAAGAGTTGTTGCCGTACATCCAGGAAAGGATGGATTAATAAGAGTCATAGATGTAAAAACATCGAATGGAGTTCTTCAGTGCAGTCTGCCCAAAATATGTATTCTTCCAATTGAAACATAATTTATACTGTTTATCATTACTGCCTAGATTATCGTCAATTATATGTAAATGATCTTACAAGCCTTCGTCTTGCAATGCTGGCGGGATATTTAATATTTAATTTTCAGTTGTAATTCTTTTATTATTAATAGCGAATCATTTATTATGATGTAAGTTTAGTTTGAAACCCGCGCCCTCCTAGTTTAAGAGTTCAGCGCCTTCTGTCGAATCTAGTAAAAGGCAGAAAGGGAAGAAGAAGTCGCGACCATTTTTACTACTACGAATTTCCTCGAAAAGAATGGTTGAGTTTTTGTAATGGACACCGATCTCGTGTCGATCTGCGTTCCGTCGTACATTTTATAAGTTTACTGAGTTATCAAATAAAGAATATTTGTTGGAAATAATCCGTGCATCATTCCATTGAACAAATATCGTACAGAGATAGATATACGTTTGATATTTGTCGGAAGCGAGAAACAGAGTTCTGGAGCAGTCTAGTGCAGGAACAGAAAACAGACCAAATGATTGCTAAACAAGTAACATAGCGGTCAATTTGAAGATAAACAAACTAAAATTTATGACATGTATTATATTACGAACAAACCTTACAGTTTATTGAGAATCTCAATGTACGCATGATTTAATCCAACCTTATCATGTTGTAGATTTAGCCCATTAATCTGTCGATTAATGTGCATCATCTCCGATATTAACCGTTTGTTATAATAATTCTCTACATATAAAATCTCTATGTTTTGCCAACCAAAGTCATGATCGTTTTGCAACCTATTCTCTGCAATCACTGAATGAGTGAATGTTTGAATATGGATATGCTTTTGGTGTTCAGAAAGTCTGGTTTTTCTCCCTGTTTATCCCACATAGGAAGCATCGCAATCACAACAATTGATCTTATAGACTACATACCTTTTTAATTCATTATTTAAAGAATCTTTACGAACATTAATAAATTGAACAATATATTTATGACCGTATATTTGAGAAACTCAATTAATAATAGAATGTAACGGCCTATTACGGTTGGAGCTGGATCTTCGTTGCTTTAAATAATTCAATCTTGAATTACTA